TTTTGTATTTTTAGTAGAGACGGGGTTTCACCATGTTGACCAGGATGGTCTCGATCTCTTGACCTCGTGATCCACCCGCCTCGGCCTCCCAATCAGTTACTTCTTCTACTGAAGTCTTCAACCCCTGAAAGTCATCAGTGAGAACTGGAATCAACTTCTTCCAAACTCCTGTTAATGTTGGTATTTTGACCTCCTCCCATGAGTCACAAACGTTCTTAATGGCATCTAGAATGGTGAACCTCTTCCAAGAGGTTTTCAATATACTTTGTCCAAATCCAACAGCTATGGCAGCTACAGTCTTATGAAATGTGTTTCTTAAATAATAAAACTTGAAAGTCAAAACTACTACTTGATCCATGGGCTGCAGAATGGATGCTGTGTTAGCAGGCATGAAAACAACATTCATCCCTTTGTTTATCTTCATCAGAGCTCTTTGGTGACCAGGTAAGCAATAATATTTTGAAAGAAGTCTTGTTTTCTGAGCAGTATGTCTCAACAGTGGGCTTATTTGGCAAACCATGGTGTAAACAGGCGTACTGTCATCCAGGCTTTGTTGTTCCATTGATAGAACCCAGGCAGAATTGATTTAACATAATCCTTAAGGACTTTAGCATTTTTGGAATGGCAAATGAGCACTGGCTTTCACTTAAAGTCACCAGTTGCATTAACTCCCACCAAGAGAGTTAGCCTATCCTTTGAAGCTTTTAAGTCAGGCACTGACTTCTTTCTAGCCATGACAGTCCTAGATGGTAACTTCTTCCAATATAAGGCTGTTTCAACTCCATTGAAAGTTAGGTTGGGTTTTTGTTAGTTGACTTTAAAGAAGAAGTAGCTCATTTGTCTAGAACTTCACCCTTAACCTCTGTGCTTTACAGTCCTCTACAGCCATTTCCTGTGAACCAAGATAGTAAATTTGATCCGCCTCCAAAGATGAGGAGGAGGAAGTTGTGACTGGTGAATTTTTCTCTTTAATGAAGGCAACAGAGCACAAGTGCAGAACGGGAAAGTGTTTCTTGTCAACCTCTCTTTTTATTTTTAAGCCAATAAAAAGAAGCTTGATTGTGGCCTTTCTGTAAGTAGAGGTGTACCCACACTGGTTGAAAATATCTTCAAAATGAACACAAATAAATATCCCTAAAACTCTTCTGGATTCAGCTTGTGGGAAAGAGCATTATGAAGGTAAGGCAACTTGGTAGTTTTATAAAAAGTACTCAGAAAAATAAGTCTTCGTGTCTCAGTTGGATACATTTTAAAACTGATGTTGATAAAATTGTATGAAAACAAGTAAATGGGTAAAACTGAGATAATCAGCATACTTTTTATTTTCTATAAAATAAATACAGTTGACTTGAACAACACAGGATTGAAGTGCATGGATCCACTTATATGCAGACAATTTTTCAATAAACATATTGGAAAATTTTTGGAGATTTGCTACAATTTGAAAAAAATAGATAAATCTTGCAGCTAAAAATATTTTAAAAATTAAGAAAAAGTTAGATATGTCATGAATGCATACAATATTAGTAAATATTATTCTACTCCTCATTTACTACCCTAAAACATACAGATATTGTATAAAAAGTAAAGATTTCTTAAAACATATGCACTTACAGCCTCACAGGTTGCCATTTGCAGTTGAGAGAAATGTAAACAAACATAAAGATGCAGTATGAAATCATAATTGCATAAATTAATGATAGTATATACTCTACTATTGTAATAACTTTATAGCCATCTCCTCTTGCCAATATGGTGAGCTCAAGGGTTGTATCTGCTTAAAACACCATGTGATGCTAATCATCTCCACATGAACAGTTCACCCTTCCAGTAAATTTCATATCCCAATAAAAAGTGACCCCTCACCATTTTTGCATATTTTAAATTGTGTTTAGTGCAATCATAAACCTTGAATAATACCACGGACTAATATGAAGTGCCACTAGAGACATAAGAAGTGCTACCAAGGAGCAGAGAAAAGTGGCATTATAAGAAAAAATTGAATTGCTTTCTATAGATACCATAGATTGAGTTCTGCCCCTGTGGTTGAAAGCCACTTGAAGACAAATCCAGCAAAAAAAACCACTGTAAGAAAAAAAAAAAAACTTATGAAACTGCTGCTGCAGCTATTCCAGCAGCATAAAAACTTTGTACTTTTTGTGAAGTATTTTTTACCTTGTATTGAAAATGCAGATTTTATGTGAGTGCAGCATTGCTATAAGAAAGGCATATCTATAGGCTCAAATACAATTCAAGACAAAGTGAAGTCACTATATGAGAAAAAGGGAAAAGAAAGTGAAGGATCTAAATCTAGAGGGTATAATGTCAGTAAGGGATAGTTTGATAGGTTTGGCTTTAAAACTGTGAAGATAAAAAGAGAAACAACTTCTGCCGACCAAGAGGCTGCAGATGAGTACCCTGACACAATTAAGAAAATCATTAAAGAGGAAAGATATTTGCTTGAACCAGTTTTTAATGCAGACCAAAGTTCCCTATTTTGAAAAAATGCGATAAAGGACATTAATTAAGAAGGAAGAGAAGTGAGTACCAGGATTGAAGGTAGGAATGCATAGGTTAACTCTACTGTTTTATGCAAATGCAGTGAGGTTTATGATCAGGACTGCCTTTGCCTATAAAGCACCTAAACCCCAAGATTAAAAAATTTTTTTTAAATTATACTTTAAGTTCTGGGGTACATGTGCAGAACGTGCAAGTTTGTTACATAGGTGTATACACATGCCATGGTGGTTTGATGCATCCATCACTGCATCATCTACGTTAGGTATTTCTCCTAATGCTATCCCTCCCCTAGATCTCTACCTCCAAACAGGCCCTGGTGTGTGATGCTCCCCTCCCTGTATCCATGTGGCCTCATTGTTCAACACCCACTTATGAGGGAGAATGTGCAGTGTTTGGTTTTCTGTTCTTGTGTTAGTTTGCTGAGAATGATGGTTTCCAGCTTTATCCATGTCCCTGAAAAGGACATGAACTCATCCTTTTTTATGACTGCATAGTATTCTATGGTATATATGTGCCACATTTTCTTTACCCAGAATATCATAGATGGACATTTGGGTTGGTTCCAAGTCTTTGCTATTGTGATCAGTGCCACAATAAACATATATGTGCATGTGTCTTTATAATAGAATGATTTATGATCCTTTGGTTATATACCTAGTAATGGGAATGCTGAGTCAAATGGTATTTCTGTTTCTAGATCCTTGAGGAATTGTCACACTGTCTTCCACAATGGTTGGACTAATTTACAGTCCCACCAACAGTGTCAAAGCATTCCTATTTTTCGACATACTCTCCAGCATCTATTGTCTCCTTATTTTTTAATGATCACCATTCTAACTGGCCTGAGATGGTATCTCAATGTGGAAACCTTGAAATTTGAAGGGAGAAGATAAACACCAGCGGCTAGTCTTTTGTTTGCAGAACAATAAGGTCTGTACACTGAGAACCCTTTCTGGGTTGGTTCCACTGATGTTTTTTCCTGAAGTAAAGAAGCACCTTGCCAGTAGGAGACTGTCTTTTAAAATTCTTTTGATATTGGACAAATTGGACAATGTCCCTGGTCACCCAGAACCCCATAAGTTCAAAGCCAAAGGAATCAACGTGGTCTACTCACCAGCAGTGCCTCCCCCCAACAACACACACAACATCTCTAAATCCAGGGAATCATAAAGACCTTTAACATTCATTACACACAGTAATCTATGAGAAAAGGATTATCAACACTGTGGAAGAGAACCCTGGTATGGAGAACATCATTAAAGTTTGGAAAGATCACACCACTAAAGACGCCATTGTTGTTACAGAAAAAGCATGAAAACCATCAAGCCTGAAACAATAAATTCCTGGTGAAAAAAACTGTGTCCAGATGTACATGACTTCACAGGATTTATTACAGAGCCAATCAAGGAAATCATGAAAGTGATTGTGGATATGGCAAAAAAAGATTATAGGGAAGGGTTTCAAGATACGTATCTTGGAGAAAATCAAGAGCTAATAGATATCACACCAGAGGAATTAAAAGATGATTTGATGGAGAGTGCTTCCAACCCTGTGACAGATTATGAGGAAGAAGATATAGAAGGAGCAATGCCAGGAAATAAATTGACATTAGACAACCTGGCAGAAGGTTCCTATTATTCAAGACTGCTTTTGACTTCTTTTACAGCCTAGACCCTTCTATCATAGAGGCACTGAGACTAAAATAAATGGTTGAATAAGGATTCGTAGCAGATAGGAACATTTTTAGAGAAATGAAAAAGCAAAAAAGTTAGACAGAAATTACAAAGGATTTCTGTAAAGTTACACTGAGTGTGGCCTGCTTCTCCCGCCTCCTCTTTCACCTCCTTCATGTCTTCCACCTCTGCCACTACTGAGACAGTAAGATCAACCTCTCCTTCTCTTCCTCCTGGTCAACGTGACTAGAAGGAATGATTGCTAATAGGCTGGAATTTACTTGGGAGGATGAAAATGTTCTGAAATCAGATTGTAGTTATGGATGCACAACCTTGTAACTATACTAAAATCATTTGAGTTTACACTTTAAATGTGTGAATTGTGTGGCTTGTGAATCATATCTCAGTAAAACTGTTTATAAATATACAATGGTATATTCTCAGCCTAGTCAACATGATGGCAAGGGTGAAGACATTTATGATGATCCATAGCAACTCAATAAATAGTAAATATATTTTTCTTTTCCTTATAATTTCCTTAATAGCATTCTCTTTTGTCTAGCTTACTTTATTGTAAGAAGACAGTATATAATATATATAGCACACAAAAAATGTCTTAATCAACTATTCATGTTATTGGTAAGGCTTGTAGTCAACAGTAGGCTATTAAAGTTTTGGGGAAGTCAAAAGTTATATGTGAATTTTTCACTGCACAGGGGGTTGGTTCTCCTAACTCCGTGTTGTTCCAGGCTCAACTATAAAAACTTCCAGATTTTTCAAATAGAATTAACTTTGTTCTATTTTCTGATTCTCATAAAATTTGGTTGTATGCTCATTTCAGCCTTCCTAGTATTAATTATTTAGATATCTATATCCCCAAAAATATGGTGAGCTCCAGGAGACAGGATGTTTGTTTAATAATAATGATAATAGTTATTATAACTGACATATAAATATTGTATAGTTTACAAAAAATGCCTACATACATTTTCTCATTTTTCCTTTTTTTTTCTCTCACAAGAGCCTTGTAATAGCTTTGCATTCTTTTCAGCACTGTATATAACACTTTGCATATAGTAGGCTTTCAAAAATATTTTAGGGCTTAATTAAAATTAAAACTGGATTGTGTGGGTTGAATTAAAATCCTGCCAATTCTCTGAATTTTTATGTCCTGTAAAGCAATTAAGAGAGCGAAAGAAGATTTTGAATAATTTCACTTTTTCATTTGTATACAACCAATATATCCCCAAAACAAAAATTAAGAAAGTATTCATTTAACCATTAAAATTAATTATGAAAACATCCAAACAAGGCAGGTTTTTAAACATTTACTTATTTATCTATTAGGTCAGAACATCTCTTCTTTTTCCTGCTCCTTTGTTTGTTCACTTGACTCTTGGTCAGTATTCTGTAAGCTCCACATACAGAATGTGGAGCGTACATTGTAATTGTACATTGTACAATGTACAATGTAAGCGTACATTGGGGAAATGAAAGGTCACACCACGCTTCAAGAAAGTGATTCTCTTGGTAACCAGGACCAAGCCAGTTATGCCCATTCAACATATTCTCTTTTAGAAGACACAGTTTCTCATAGCCCTTTGAGGCCTGCTTAAATTCTGACATTTTTCTATTGGAAAATGAACTGAAGTTATCAACCTACTTTCACCACACAGATCACTAGTAACTAGAGCTGAATTATAAGCTTATATGACAACTATTCCGTGAGACAAAAGCTTTCTCACCATTATGCACTTGAAGCAATCTGGTTTCTCTACCAAGACTCTTCTATTTTCATGAGCAATTTAAAAATCACTTACAATTCAGAATATAGGTCACCGCTTATTTAGTTTTTTAAGATAGTTGCAAGCAGTGTCTACTCCGTGTCAAAAACTGTTTCTTATTTTCATGGGACTCAAATTGCCAATGGTTCTCTGGAAAAGAAAGGTCATTCAAAAAGAAATAGAATGAGAGAGTGGCTAATATAAAGAACTACACTTGTTTTAAAAAAGAAAAGCAAAACCTGAGAAAAACACTTAGAAGCTAAATACTATTAGAATGAGAGGTAAGACTCCTGGAAAAAGAGTAAAAACAGAATAGAGTTGAGTACCAGAAAGGAAACCAATGAAGTGAGAAATTATTAATGCTATTTGCATGTAGAGTACATGTAAGAAGAGAAATAAAAGTAATGGTCTTGGAATTCCACCTACAACTCAGACTTTTTTCCTGTAGGCATTCAGAACATATTACACAAAAGTAAAACTCTGCCAACAATAGTGGCTATGTTTCCATAGTCCCTTGACAGACCAGAGCTTGTTTTAAGGAATAAGGAACCAACGAAGGTTTTTGTGCAGATGGTGACATGGTCTATTTGTGTTTTAAAAGGGCCCCGTCTGGCAGCATTATAGAAAAATTATTGGAAGAAAAGAATAACAATAAAGAGTTAGAAGATACTGCAATATTCTAAAAATGAGAGAAGAGTCCAGAATCCAAAACTGACATTGAATTACAAGGAGATAATGAATAGGAAGGACATTAGGAGGTAAATTCAGTTTGACTCAGTAATTCCTGGGCTAAGGAGAGTAAAAAGGAATAAGGTGGAATTAGAGAGTTCATTATTTCACTGCGCCTTGAATAGACGGTAGGATGGGTGTTGACTATATTAATTAGGAAATGAAAGAGGAGATAATGCCTTGAGAAGATGAGCACAGTCAATGGAGTTGACCCGAACTTAGCTGCAAATCACATCTGCATGAGGCACAGTTGAAATAAAAGGAGTGGCCACAATGTATTAGAAAGAGTAACACTTCTAAAAATCTGTGGGAACAGATTTATACAGACAGATTGCTCTTACAACAATACAATTGATTTCCATTCTTCATTAAGTACACAATTAACTTCAGAGGCATTAAGATATAATGGATAGGTGTGTCCTGCTTTACCAGTTTAGAGCACAGGGAACTTCTAACATTTAAAATAATATGGCGAGCACCTTCCCATCCTTCTTATGACAAGAATGTCTATTTTCCTTCCTCACTACTGAGTTCTAGGGATCTGTCCTTCTTGCTAACCTTCACTGGGAAAAAAATAAAAGCACCTCATTAATTTAACCGAGGCCCCCTTCTCTGCCACACCGCATTACTCTAGAAGGCTACAGTAGTTATGCATCCTGGGCAGGCCTCCACCATGGAGAGGTCCCTCAGAGGCTTTCCTGCTTATCTGAAATGAACTAAGTTGAAGCTTCAGGCCCCTCACCTACAAGGGCCCCCTCCATGTCCCTGGAATGGGTCCTAGCAACTGTATATTCTGAATTTTGTATTCTTTTATTTTTAAAGAAGGAACCCAACATGTTATAAATTCAGGTTCAATAACACCTGAAGTGGCCCTTTCCCATACTGTCACTGCTGGTCTGAGAACAGCTTCTCCACATTGGGGAAGGAAGAAGCAGCCTCCTGACTCTCTCTGTCCAGTTTATGGTTGTGTCATACCATGGTAGGCTAGGGTTATCCACTAACCAGGCCAAGCCTTTATGGTTCTGGGACTTATAAGATTCCCTTGAGCTCCTAAAATATTGCTTGATTTTATCAAATACACAGTGAAAATCTCTAATTGTGACTATACTAAACAAAGTCCTTTTGATGCTTCTATGAACCTAATGGAAACTAAACTGAAAGCTACCACCTGGATTTAAACCTTTGGAGGAATGTGAATAATTAAAGAGGCATATTCAGGATTGAACTTTATTTCAGAAGGATAAGTGTCTCACATACAAACTTTTCTTCTTAATCAATTAAATAATGTAAGAGTTCATGTTTCACTGAAATATGATTTTTTTGCACTATTTTGATTTTTCAGAAAATTCCAAACATTGCAATATTCCTCTTTTTAGAAAATTAATCTAGCAGAAATTTTATCTTTTATTTTTCTACCTTTAAAAGGCCATGTTGGAGTTTATCTTATGCATTATTTAAAAAACTTGGGGATAAGTAAATTTTAAATGAGATACCAGAAAGACAGCAAAAACCTCTAAGAATGTTTTAAAAATGAGAAGTGAGGGAGAGGCTAGCTCTACAAACTATTAAAACATGTTGCAACATTAAATCAGGAGCAGTGTGAAGAGGTGAGAATGACTCCAGGGCCACCCAAAACCCACACCCAGCAACTATGTCCTGCCACCACACCCAAGAGAAAGGTGAAGGGCTAACCACAGAGAAGATCCATGAGGCTGTCTGCTAAACCTGCTTCCTCCAAAGTCAGAGCCCAAGCCTAAAAAGGCCCCTGCAAAGAAGGGAGAGAAGGTACTCAAAGGGAAAAAGGGAAAAACTGATGCTGGCAAGGAGGGGAGTAACCCTGCAGAAAATGGAGATGCCAAACAGACGGGGCACAGAAAGTTGATGGTGCTGGAGATGCCAGGGAAAGTGTGTGCATTTTTGATAACTGTGCACTTCTGGTGACTATACAGTTTGAAATAATCATTTTTATCAACTTTCATAAAATGCAGAACTGTGTTTTACCTTTTGTTTAAACTATCTTGTTAGCACACAGAACACTTCATTGTTGTTTTGGGGGAAGGGGTATATATCACTCATAGAATGTCTCTGAAGCTGGATTGATGGATAACACCTTTACGTTCTAATTTTGAGAGACTTCCTATTGGCTTCCAGGAAGAGGGATTCCCTGACTTTGACACACATGGCCACCTTGGCACACAAAAGCCTTGTGATATGGAAAAACAAATTCGTTTTTATTCCGTCTTTCAGCATAGACTTAACTCCCTTAAGCCCAGACATCTGTTGGGACCTGACCCCCAGTAGTGTGTCAGGCAATCTGGACTTTCCAGTGATGCCACTGAAATGGCACCCCTCAAAAGAGCAGTGGTTCCCTTTCTAGATTGTGGATCTTCAGATAAATTCTGCCATTTTAATGCCACTTCCTGAAAGTCAGGGTCAGCTCATGAAAAGCTGTTAAACAACATGTGAAATGTGAAATGTCAACTCTCACTCTAAACTGTTCGGAGCATGAGATGAAGACTTCTTTGGTTTTTATGGTGGCTTTCTGATTTTTGGTAGTCCATTGAAGAAGGGAGTTTGAAAGTTGTATACTATTAGAGATTGCCTACCCATGTCCTGCCTGAAATACCATGACTGTTTATGGAAAATATCTTTAATAAACCTGGATACAGTTTGGCTTGGGGAAAAAAAGTTAAATCAGTGTGACAGTAACAAAAGCATATCATTAACTAAATACATACTGGCTATTATTTTCAATGATATTGTTGTTATAAAGACTTCTTATACCCACCCCCAACCCCCAAAGCAGTAGTTAGTCACCTAAGGTATCTGAGTCTCCCTTGTCAGAATTCTCAGTTTACTGGATTGCATGTTTGCTTTTACCCAGGAATAAATGCTTGAGTGGCCACTCCTGACTCAGCTTTGGTCACGTGTCCACAGGTGGCTCCTTTGCTAGGATCCCCTTGAACTGCTAAAATATTGCTTGATATTATCAAACACACAGTGGAAATCTCTATTGTGAATATATTGAATATAGCCTTTTTGATGCTTCTGTGAACCTAATGGAACCTAAAGTGAAAACTACCACCTTGATTTAATCCTCTGATGTAACATTCTTTTGCAGTGCTTCTGAGGAAACCACTTTTAGAGGAACTGCTTTTGCTTCTGTATCAGTCCCTCACCTCTGTCGTCTCATCACTGATCTGTTTGCCTCTGCTTTCTATGTTCCAGAAACCCTTGCTGTCCTGGCCTGCAGGTGGGGTCCTCCTGGATTTCCAGAGTTGCTATGTGTTTTATTTTTAAAATTTATACTGTCATTTCAATGGGACCTGGGAAGATGGAGAGGAAATGTGGATATAGTCCACTTTGTTGAAGAAATCTTTTATGTTTGTACTCAAATCAGTTATCTCCCAAAATGAGTTTTTTCTTTGATACTTACTTCTGTTTTTCTTTGGATAATATTTGGTATTTTATATCCAATTCTTCAATTAGCTTGATTTTTTCCCCAAATATGTAACCTATTATCCTAGGAACATTTACAAAATTACTAATCATTTCCTCTCTTTTTTCCTTTAAGAAAACTCATATATGCACATTTATATAAAAACAGGTCTAAAATATAATGATTAAAAAATAAGTTGAGATAAATTATGTTTGAAAAGAGGGGAGATATATAGGTCACTATATGTTATGCATTATATATACTTGTGTATAAATAGAAACATTATGGGAGGCTGGAAATCAAACTGTTAATTTCTTTTGGAGAGTAGAAATGGGAGAAAGTCAGAGGTGAGAGATTCATAATTTCAAGAGCAGAGATAGTGTGGACCAAGACCAACAATAGCCAACAGGTGTTTGGCAGAAAAAAAAGGGCTGGGGCCAGCTGACTCTAGAGTTTGCTGAAAAATACAATCACTAGTGCACATGTTCATAAATTGAACATTCAAAAAATAGCTAACATGTATCGAAATCTTACTATATGCCAGGTACTGTTCTCATAGCTTTATATGTACTGATTCATTTACTCCTCATAAAAAATTTATGCAGATGAGTACACTCATCGCAATTGTAAAGACAGGGAAACTGGAGCACAAAGTGGTCAGATAAATTTTTCTGTATACGCCATGGATGGCACAGCCAGAATCTGACCCCAGTTGAAGTGGTATTAGAGCCCTCCTTAATTGCTGTTTTCTATTGCACAGACTTAACTATCACCTCCTGAAACTTTTCTCACACCCTTCTTTCAGTCTCCAGTGCTCCCAAAAGCAGAACCTTCATTCCAACAATAGAAATGAAAAGCTTCACTTTGAAGAAATGAAATATACTTTAAAGATAAATACCACGTTATTTAAACATTCATCTAAAAGTATAGCCTGGAAATGAAGAGTCAACAAATATTTGAGAAAAATCTAGGGCAAAGAAAACATAAGTTCAAACAAAGAGATTTAACTCCCAAGAAAACAGAGTTAACACAGAAAGTAGAATGAAATATCAAAACAAGTCTACTTCCTATTTTCAGAGATATAGGGGTTGTGTTCACACATACTATATACAGATTGGAGTTCTTGATTAAAACATGGTTACTGAAATTAAAAATGGATTATCTAACAGAATGAACATAAAAGATCAAGTTAGTGAATTGCAAGACTAAGGAATTCTCTCAAGATATCATGCGAAGGCAAGATCATAAAAGTACAAGAACAAATGTTGGAATAGAATCAGAAATTCTGTAATAGACAGAATAATGATCCCACAGCAATGTGCCACATCCTGCATCCTAATCCCTAGAACCTGTGAATATGTTACCTTACACAACAAAAGTGACTTTGCAGCTGTGAGTAAATTTGGGATCTTGATATGGGGAGATTATCCTGGATTACTTACCTAGGCCCAGTGTAAGGGCTTACATAGGTAGGGTCCCCTGTGTAGGGTCCTTTTATGTGAAAGAGCAAGGAGGATCATAGGCTTAAAACAGATTTATTATCTTAAAGTTCTGTAGTTCAGAAATCTGAAATGGGGTTCACTGGGATAAAATCAAGGAGTTGGCAGGGCTGCATTCCTTTCTGGAGGATTCTCTAGGGAAGGATCCATTTCCTTGCCCCTTCCAGCTTGTAGAGGCTACCCCCGTTCCTTGGCTCTTGCTGTCCATCTTCAAAGCTGGCAACAGTGAGCAGGGTTCTCACATCACATTGTTGACCTCTTCTTTTGACTCCTTCTTCCCAAGAGTCCATCCCAAGAGTCCAGAACAATCTCCCTATTTTAAGGTCAGCTGATTAGCCACCTTAATTTCATCTACTATCTTGAATTCCCCTTTGCCACATGATGTAACATATTCATAGGTTCTGGGAATGGGCACATGGACATCTTTAGAGGACTGATATTCTGCCTGCTAATCTCACCCCTACTCCTAATTTTAGATGCCTCCCGTCTTTACAATGTAGATCATTTCACGCATGCCCATTGTCTACCTTTAAACTTTCCCATTCCAATATAGTCTTGGAAGATGGGGTTTGGTGGGAGGCAGAGGGTTGTTTTTTAGTGTACAAAGACAAAAATATACTGGGTGTCCTGTCCAGTGCACCCTTCAGGGATTTTCAGCCTTTTGTGATCTTTGAAATACTTTGCAATTTTTTAAGTTGTAGAAAACTAGAAAACTGATAATAATGCAAATGACTTTGTTTATAGAAATGCAAGTATTGTCTAGGGGAATACAATTGATTATTACCCTATTGATATTGACCTGTTTTGCCAGTTTGTATTTATTTTTGCCAGTTTGTATTCATTTTCATATTATTCATTTCATTTTGCCAGTTTGTATTCATTATAGTCTTAGCATGTCTATATATTTGTTTTCTCTTCGAATATTCCTTTGAAATGAGTTGTAACATTTTATCGATTCCTTCATTAATGAGTTAAATAAAATTTTGGTCACCATTAATAATTAAACTCCTTTAAAAATTTTTCCTTTAACAGTAAAACTTTTATTATAAATGTATATTTAGTCATTGAAAAAATTCTTAAATTCAGATGTCCATGGAAATGTAGTTAATTATTTGTTAAAATTTCTCTGATCACCTTTGCCAGAGATCCCACCTACTCACTGTGGATGGAGTGGTGAGCAATCTAATGTTAACCCAATCCAGATGAAAATTTAGTCTTACCCAATGATGTAAACTCAGGTTTAACCCAGTCTTTTCCACTCAATCTCTCAGTTTCCCTCCTACTTATTTCCACTTCTCTTAATGTTTATAGAGAACAGGGTAGGACTATAATGGCCTAATTACTTCCTCGCTGGATTCTCAGTGGCTCTGCAGACCACTCTCTTTATTCCATCTTGACATGGCCTCCAGCTAGAAGTCTATGCTAAAACTTCATTTCTCTCCAGCAGTCTTTATGAGGGGCCCAATGCTTCTCAACTCAGTGTGGGGTGCCACACATACACCCAGAAATGGTTGGGAGAGCCAACTAGACCCTCTTTTGCCAGATCACATAGTTTGTCTGACAGGAAGAGTGTGGGGTTAAAATGCGTAAAATATACTTAAGTATATTTTTAAATTTTATCAAAACTAGCGATGTTTAAAAGTTGCAATTGAAAAAAGTAAAAATATCTGGAGCTTTACACTCATAGACAGTGGATTCCTCTAGACAGTGGATTTATGGTTTTTAAAGTTCATTTTTCTTTTTTATATTTTCTGATTTTTAATAAAGAATATATAAAACTTTTTGCTTAGGATTGTTCTGGCTATTGGGGCTTTTTTTGGTTCCATATGAATTTTACAGTAGTTTTTTTCTAATTCTGTACAAAAATGATGCTAGTAATTTGATTGGAAGACTGTTAAATCTATAGATAGCTTTGGGCATTATGACCATTTTTAATGGTATAAATTCTTCCAATCCATGAGCAGAAAATGTTTTTCTATTTGTTTGTGTCATCTATGATTTCTTTTAGCAGTGTTTTGTAATTCTCCTTGTAGAGATCTTTCACCTCCTTGGTTAGATGTATTCCTACGTATTTTACATATTTATTGGTTTTTATAAAGATAACTGAGTTCTTTATTTGACTCTCAGCTTGAACATTAGATTGGAAAAAGAAAATATGGTACTATATGTCATGGAATACTATGCAGCTGTTAAAAAGAATGAAATGATGGCCTTTGCAGCAACATGGCTGCAGCTGGAGTCCATTGTCCTAAGAGAATTAGCATAGGAACAGAAAACCAAATACCACATGTTCTCACTTATACATGGGAGCTAAACATTGGGTACTTGTGGACACACAGATGGCAACAATAGACACTGGGGACTAATAGAGGGAGGAGGTTGGGAGGGAAAGTTTGAAAAACTACTTATTTGGTACTATGCTCACTACCTGGGTTATGGGATCATTTGTATCCCAAACCCTAGCATCATGCAATATAGCTATGTAACAAAACTGTACATGTTACCCTCTGAATCTAAAAGGTGAAATTATTTACAAAATAGAATATATATAAAAGTGGTGTAACAAAAGTCATTTTAAAGCAAAGTACAAAATTATATGAATAATGTGCCCTTAATATGTTATAGAAGTATATAGAAAAAAGACATAAATTACACTGAGATGTTAACAGTGATTATTTTAAGATTGTGGACAATGTTTTTGTGTATATGTATCTATTAAAATGTAGGGATACACCAAAACCGTTTCTGATATTGGTTGGACTCAGCCGTTTTGAGCCTAGTGTTTTTTTTGTTGTCATTGTTTTTTAAATTTCTCCAACGATTGAGCCTAGTGTTAATGAGTCTAGACTTCAGTTGAGTAATAGTCCCTTCAGAAGTATTGTGTTCCACAGATACTGACTAAATTTCAATGTATTTAATATGGTCAGGCTTTGGGTGCCCAGCAAATCTCATCTTAAATTATAATTCTCATAATCCTCATAAGCCCCACCTGTCAAGGTGGAGACCAGGTGGAGGTAGTTGAATCATGGGAGAGGTTTTCTCCATGCTGTTCTTCTAATGGGGAGTGAGTTCTTACGAGATCTGGTGGTTTTATAAGGCGGGGGGGGGGGGGGGGGGGGGGGGGGGGGGGGGGGGGGGGGCAGGGTCTTCCTCCTTCAATCTGTACTTCTTCGTGTTGCATTGTGGGAAAGTCGCCTTGCTTTCCCCTTCACCTTCCGACATGATTTTAACTTTCCTGAAGCCTCTCCAGCCCTGCTGAACTGTGAGTCAGTTAAACTTCTTTCCGTTATAAATTATCCAGTCTTGGGCAATTCTTTACAGCAGTATGAAAATGGACTAATACCGTATTTATCAAGGTTCTACAAAGGAACAGAACCAATAGCAGTGTGTGTCTGTGTTTATGTGTAGCGTCCAAGTCTGGTTTCTTATTTAAGCAAGAATGATCCTAGTGTTTTGTATTAAATATGATGTTTATATATATGTAGTCTCTGATGCATATACTTAAGTTGAGGAAGCGTCTTTCTGGCCATAGCTTAGTGATAATGTTTTAATTTCGTTGGTACTGCTGTTGTTTCAAATCAGGAATGGATGTAATAAGGATTTTTCTTCCAAAATGCTTTCAAAGATTTTTTTTTTTTTTTATTGCAAGGCATCCTTCACTTACTGAGCTAGGTCTTAGCCATGATATATCCCTCTTTTTAACATGTGTCAGAATTTTGTTATTTATTTTTGTTTTTTTCTATCTATGTTCGTGACTGAGGTTGGCTTGTGGTTTCTTTTTTTCTACTACCCTTGTCCAATTAAGGTATGAAGATCATATTAGCCTTACAGAATAAGGTGAGAAACTTCTCATGATTTATATATATGTGTGTGTGTGTATATATATGTGTATATATATATATAAATGTATATATATGTGTATATATATGTGTGTATATATATATATATATATAAATATGTACATAGAGAGAAATTTATTTTTTAAAATTGGCTCACACAATTGTAAGGCTGGAAAGTCCAAATTTTGCAAGGCAGGCAAGCAAGCCAGAGACCCAGGGGAAGAGTTGACATTCCAGTCTTACGTCCAAAGTGAGTCTGAAGGCAGAATTTCTTTTTTTTCAGGGGACCTCAGTCTTTGCTCTTAAGGCCTAGATGAGATCCACATGCTTTAAGGAGGGTAATCTGCTTTACTCAGTGTCAACTGATTTAAATATTAATCACATCGTTAAAAATGCAACCACAGTAAAATCAAGACTGGTGTTCCACTAAACAACTGGACACCATATTCTAGCCAAATTAGCACATAAAATTAATCATCACAGTGTCTATTTTCATAATTCTTTCTTACCTGATTGTAATCTCTCAAAAGATATTCTGCTTCTTTGTTAATGCTAAACCCTCCACATGAGCTCTCGATCTCCCCTGCTTCTGTCTCCTCCAAGAATTTTTCACAATGATTTTTTTTCTCTTTTGTGTTATGAATCGCTTCATTCTTGCTCACCTCTCCCTCTAGGTAAACATGTTCAAGTCTGCCCTCATTTTAAATAATATTTCATCATTGTATTACACTCTCTAGCTACTACACTTTGGTCTGGTTAACATCATTAGCAAATATCTTTCTATAAAATTTATTATTTTGTCTTTTGTTATGCTTCAAAGTAATTCATAATTATAGGGATTGTCTGAACCTTACAGTTTTCCTAGAATTCTTCATACAGGACATGAGACTTTTAAAGTTAGATCTTCAACTGACTACTTAATTTCTTCTATTATGGCTTATTTATTTAGGTTTCTCTTTAGTTTTGCTTGTGTATGAGAGTAAATTTATATTTTACAAATATATCTGAAATTCTGTTAACTCTAAGGTAAGATACAAAGGAATCATGCTCATTTACACATTCAGATGATCACAGCTTTAATGAAGCTCTTATTTAACAATTAATTTTGACACCAAAATATAATAAAAATATATTGAATCTGCTGTTATTCTAGCTTATCATACATATCAACCAAAATCTGGCTTGTGTTGAGACCGGAAAACATTTTTGTCAGTTAAAAAAAAAAAAAGTGTTCACTTCCATTTTAATCTTTTAAATGGTTTTTCTGTAGTGTTTCTGTTTTTACCGCATCCTTTATTTCCAAGTAGTTTTTATTTATTTTTATTTCGTTTGTTTAATGCTGAGAGTTTATTTCTTGTCTTTTACCCACATCAATATGTAAGGATTTGATATTTTGTTTCTTGAATTCTTTTTTTCTACCTTAAAGTTATCTGTTTATACTTGTGTTTCTCTTTCATTTATCAGAGTTGATTTATTTTAACTCTTCTCTATTCAACTTTGGCAATATATATTTTTCTTAAAAATTAGACATGTAAAATGTATTGACTGATTTCTAAAAATCATCAATTTTATCCATTAAGTTATTGGCACAGTGACTAACAAAGCAGTATCATATTTTTAACAGTTACTTTTCCTCTATAATTTTGGTCCTTTTTCATTCTTAATGTGGTTGATTTATATATTCTCTTTTTCTTAATTTTTCACCCTTGCCTACTTCTATAGATTTTTTTCAATATCTTTCCAAACACTAGCTTAGGTTTTATTGATAAAATTAACTAGACCTGCTACTCTCATCCTTATTTATTTTCCAGTAGTTGATATTTTATTTCCTCTTAAGTTCAACTTTTTAGAGAGAAATTTTTAAATGTCCAAGACATTTTAAAAAATATATTTTTTCATTATTAAGTTGAATTCTACTGCATTATTTTTAGAGATCACAGTTCACTGGTACAGTTTTCTCCGTTTCACTATTTTCCAAGTTTCTTTGACATATTGTTCTGGATAAACATCTTATAAACAATATCACAGGATTTTTTTTTCCAATTTAAGCATAGAAAAATTTAACTCATACATATTTATTATTAATATGTTTCGGCTTATTCATACAATCTATATTTTCTACATAGTATTTTTTTCCTTGTTCTAATTTGTGTCCTTTTGTTATGCAGATAACATTAAAAAATTTTATTTACATTTCTCTGGCGCAAGCATCATTGGTAAACATTTTCTGTAAAAGGCCTGATAGTAAGTACTTTTGTGGATCATGCAGTCTGTCACAACTACTCGGTTCAAACATGAAAGCAAGCCATAGACAATACATAAATGAATGAACATGGCTGTGCTCCAGTAAAACTTCAATAAAAAAAAAGGAGGCAGCAGGCCAGATTTGGCCTAAGGGCTTGTTTCAGTGGGTTCTACTGCCATACCAGAATACCACAGACTAGGTGACTTAAACAACAAACATGTATCTCTGACAGTTCTGGAGGCTGGAAGTCTGAAATCAAGGTGCCAGCACAGTCAGGTTCTTGATGAAGGTCCTGTTGCTGGTTATGCTCTTGAGCAGCATAACTGGCACAGTGATAAACAGAGCAGTATCCTATTTTTAACAGTGCCTTTAGCTGTATGACTTTGGTCCTTTTTTATTCCTAATGTGGTTGATTTACTTCTTCTCTCTTTTTAAATTTTTCAGCCTTGCCTACTTTTGTAGTTTTTTTCACAGTCTTTTCAAAACACTAGTTTGGGGGGAGGTATTGATAACATTAGTCATTTTCTTGGTGCATGCACAGAGAGAAATCTTGTGTCTCCTCCTCCTCTTATAAAGACATTAACCTCATCATGATGGCTCCACCCTCATGTTCTAATCTAAGCCTAATCAACTCTCAAAAGCACCTTCAAATACCATCACATTGGGGGTTAGAGTTTCAACGTAAGAATTTGGAGGGAAGTGTGATGTTCCCCTCCCTGTGTCCATGTGTTCAACACCCACTTACGAGTGAGAATGTATGGCGTTTGGTTTTCTGTTCTTGTGTCAGTTTGCTGAGAATGGTGGTTTCCAGCTTCATCCAGGTCCCTGAAAATGACGTGAACTCATCCTTTTTTATAGATACATAGTATTCCATGGTGTATATGCCCTACATTTTCTTCATCCAGTCTATCATTGATGGGCATTTGGCTT